TTGAGCATGCAATAAGCAGTGAGACAGCCTGCACATTGATACATCCTTAGCTTTGATTCAAAGGCAAAATCATAATCAGAGCCGAATGGATACTTAGAGCTCTTTGAAGAAGGGACAGAAATGAGATCACAAGGCCCAGAGATCTGGCAACCTATGCAATATTACAGTCGGTCAGTAGCAGAGCAGGCCAACGACCCAGGAAAACTGATCCTAGCCCAGGACTCACATAGCATAGGGTACAAAGATCGCTTCTGACTTTGGAGTCAACACAGACGAGAGTTTAATTTCTCTCCATCATGCATGACCTTTAGCAAGTTATTTAATCTCTCTAAATTTCAGTTTCCTCCTTTTAAAGTGAAGGGATAATAATATTTATCCTGTAAAACTGTTGGGGTTAAATAAGACATTCCACGTAAAATAAAAATTCCCAATAACTATGAGATATTGCCGTGTGACATAAGATGTTCAGTTGTGTTTTGGCTAAGGGGCAGCAGAGCTGAAAAGCACTTTCATAATAAAGAAGCATAACTCACAAAGTCTTGAAATAACTCCTTTGATATTTCAAATGAACAGGTCATTGTTTCTTTGCAACAGGTATTTGACTAACGTTTTGTTTAAAGGTCATTGGAGATAATTAGTAAAGAAAACTATACTTGCATTTCATAGGTGTGTTTACATTTTACAAGTTTAGTTTCTGGTGACTGTGCCAATTTTTATTTGCTTTCCAGTTTTTATTTTACAGGTTGCATCTACAGTGTAAATGGCTTTTGTAGGCACCTGTAGGATATGTTAAGCTTCTTCCCCAAAGAGTTTTGTAATACTGTTGGGAAAATAAGACCAAAAAAAAAAAAAAAACCTGGAACAGGGTGGGTGGTTTGAGTGGGTGAGTGAATGAATGGATGGACAGATGAACAGATGGATAGATGAAAAGTCCATCTGTCTGTTTTACAGCTATCCTAAAGAAACACAGGCCTTAAAGTAATCTTCTCTCTTTCCCTTTTTGGTAAGATCACTGTATTATAATGATGGGTGGTTATTTGTAGTTCCCAAATAAATGGAGATCAGCACCAGCTTTTTAAGAACTACTTAGAACTATAACTAGTAATATCTGGTTACAGACCGATGTAAAGATATTGAACACTATTTCCAAAATAGTCAAAATCTGACCTGAAGAAACTTCCAGGAAATACATTAAAAGAAATTGTTTCTCCTGAATCAAACAAACCCAGTCCTGTGCAGGAAGTGAACAATAAATCAATAATGTCCGTATGCCTGAAGTCCAGCTAGGTTTGCTAAATAAGGAACTGATAATCCTTGTACCCTCCATAGGGTGTGCTGTAGATTGGATCCCCACCCCCTGACCTCATTGAAGCTTAAATCTCCACTGTAACTGTTGAGAATGAGAAATCCTATCATGGTAATTGAAAGATGGAGCCTTGAAGAGGTAATTAGATTCTAGGACCGTGCCATAGTGAATGGATTAATCATAGTGGTCAGGGGCATGGTTCTGAGGGTTTTAAAAGGAGAGCACGTGAGAGCCTCTGCTCTACCATTTCATAATGTGATACCCTGTATCACTGACATCATTATCAAAGAAAACCCTTACCAGATGTATTCCCTGGAGCTTGGACTTCCCAGTGTCTGAAGCTATAAGCAATAAATTTCATTTTCCTATAAAGTATCCAGTTCCAATATTTTGTAACAAGGAACAGAAACAGAGTACTATAGGGTGCGAAAGAGAAAAAACAGAGAGATAAACTTTGTTGAATGCTAACCATGGATCAAGCACTGTGCCAGTTGCTTTTTATATGTGAAATCTTACTTAATTTTAAAATTTGAAAAAGATCTTGTGAAATAAGCATTATCTATCCCGTTTTGCAGATGAGGAAGTAGACTCAGAGAACTTAAGCAACTTGCCAAAACCACACAATGAATACATGGTAGAGCTAATTTGAGCCCAAGTGCCCTGATTAAAATTATGTCCTTTCACTTCTAAAGGTGATATAACATGATAAAATTCATTAGTATTTCGCCTTCTCCCCTAACAATTTGTAATATGTAATGTTAATGAAAATATACCTAAGGTCCTTTGGTGGCCAGACACCAATCAGCTGGTCTAAGAATGGCCATTCACACAGCTTGCTTATTTTTAAGCATTGTAAGTGCTATGCAGGAGAGTATGCCTAGCATCTCCATTATGGATGGATGGATGAGTGAGCAACTCTTCCTGGAAACCGTTGGCATGTATAAGTGTGTTGGAGAAGCCAGGCTTTTATTACCTCATCTGGTACAAGTGATCCTTCCTACCCTCCCCAGGAGGACATTGGGAAGATATGGATGGGTGGGAAGCAGAGGAATTGTTTCAGTGGTAGTCGCTGCAGCAGGTCAAGGGTAGGTTGGTGTTACACTCAATAAGAGTTATTGTGACTATGGTTCAAAGTCTGGCAGGAACTTTTTTTATTAGTTTACTTTCATTTTTTGTGTTAGACAGCTGTAGCACCAAGGGCAATTCTGTGCCAAGCCACAAGAAGGATGAAAGCCCAGGATTTCCCCTGGAGCCCCAGCTTCCATTTCAATTAGAGGCAAGAGTATAACCTGCCCAGGGGTAGTAGTTTGGGAACTTCCTGCTGGCCCAGATTCCAAACAGAGCTTGTTCTTAATCCTCACCTTGCGCCGGAGCTCAGAGTAAGCAGCAGTGAGTTCAGGAGACCCAGGAACAGGACACTTTCCTGAGAACTGGACCAGCACCTTCTGCCTTCCAGTAAGTACTGCTTGATGTGAGTGGTTTGGGTTCTCAAGACTATGGTGAACACTGTGGAAGTTTTTTGCAATTGAGCAATTGCAAACTTAAAAATTGAAAATTGAAAACTTTGCAATTGAGCAACACTGCTGTTACGGGCTCTTTCCTCATAAGCTTCTTAGGCTATACAGTCAGAAAGAAGGACCTCTTGTATCATACTCATCAAATCCCAAATGACATTACAATGAAAACATTAGGCAATGATTGTGGGAGATTCTCCAAAATGAGATCAAAGAGCTAAATCGGAAAGGGGGGGGGTTGTTTATTTGTTTGGGGTCAATGACAAGAAATGCAAGCAGAACTATGAGGAGATTTAATTCTTTCTTAAGAGGAAGAGCAAAGAGGTTAAGACCAACTCTTATGTTAGAATTCTAGCTCTGCTTCTCTTTAATTATGTGCTCAGGGCTGGCCAGTTAGCTCAGCTGGTTAGAGTGTGATAACACCAAGGCCCAGGGATCGAACTCTGTACCAGCCAGCGCCAAAAAAATAAAATAGTATACATTCATTATGTGATCAAAGACAATTTGCTTAATCTCTCTGATAACTTTTTCTTTGTTTATAAATGGGTATTGATTCATTGTAAAAATAGTATAAGCTTTATAGTACTGTCATGAGGATCTAATGAGATTTCATATACATAGTCGTCCCTCAGTATCCATGGGGGATTGGTTCCAGGAATCTTCTTGGATACCAAATTCCAAGGATATTTAAGTCCCTGGTATAAAATGGTGTACTACTTGCATATAATCTACACACATCTTCCCATATATTTTAAATTATCTCTAGATTACTTATTATACCTAATACAGTGTAAATGCCATGTAAACAGTTGTTATAAGGTATTGTTTAGGAAATAATGACGAGAAACAAAAGTCTGTGCACGTTCAGTATGGATGCAATTTTTTTTTTCTGAATATTTTCAATCTCAAGCTAGTCAATTCCATAGATGTGGAACCCACAGATACGGAGGGCTGACTCTGTGTGTGCATGGACGTGTGCGTGTGTGTGTGTGTGTGTGTGTGTACATATGGACGCATATATATGAAATCCATTATATGTATATGTATATATGAAATTCATTATACCTGTATTGTTCAAATAGCTCCCACAAGCTTCTGACAAACCACCAAAAGTATTCTTTGAAACCTTATCTTAATCTTAAGACTCATATATATGAGAGGTCTTCAAAAAGTTCATGGAAAGATTTATATTATCTTTTAATTACATTTTCCCATGAACTATTGGAAGTACCCTCGTGTGTGTGTATGTGTATGTGTGTGTGTATGAGAACAGGTATGTATGATTACATGTGTATGTGTGAGTCACGCATAAATCCGGAGGAATGAATGCATTTATGCTGGAGAAAGGGAGAAAGCAGGAGAGAACTTACACCAGGCCAGCTGGATGGTAAAGAGCCCCTCTGCCCAGTCTCCCCATTTTACCTGGGGCTGCCCTGGCACCTCCCTTCTCAGGGCCTTCTACCTTGGGAGTCTTACTTATTCAGGGTAAAATCTGGTCACCACCACATTCCTGGACTCCCGTGGGAGTGCCATTCCCATGGAACCCTGTGTTGGTTGTGGGTCACTGGCAGCTGCCCAGGAAAGGGCTTTGTCTCTCAGATTCAGTTTCACTGTGTCAACCTCAGCCCCTGGAGTTGAGCAGCCTTGAGAATGGCAAAGCTGTCGAAGAACGGGGTGGCCTAGTCCTTGCCCTTTAGTGTCCCACTGGAGACAGCGAGCCCCAGGCATAGAGAAGGGCTTATCTTTACTTCTTGATCAGCAATGCTTTCTCTGAATTTGCTCGATGGCATCCTGCCCTCTGCCCTGTTCTTATCTCTCTTCCTTGGTGCTGCCATCCCACAGGGCTCTCTGGTCAGAGCCACTAATGGAGTAGGAACAGAGAAAGTCCAAGGAAGACAGCTCCTTCAGTCATCTTTACAGCACCTCCACAGACCACCCACTCCCTGAGCACAAGCTGCTTAGCCCGTCCTTGCTACTGAGACCACCATCAGCCTCAGGAGCAGGGAGGAAGATATCAGAGAAGGAGTGGGAAGGGAAGCCTCAGAACCCATCTCCCCAACATTCGTGAGCACCGTCCTGATACTCAGTGACTCAGTGGCTAATCAATGAAGCACACTGTTGTTTGGGGACTAACTAACACTTAACCCTTCTTTTTTGACAGGTGAGAACAGACAGCCATAATGGAACCCAAACCTCAGAAGAGTCCAGGTACCGAAGGGGCATAATCTCAGAAGGAAAAATGTTTTTATCAAAAATGATAAATGATTTCCATCAAGATAACCAAGATACAGAAATTGGTTTTAGTGAGGATCATGAGTGGCATTCTGGGACAATGATTCTTGGTCTGGGGAATGTAGCAGAAACTATTGGATTCAGTTAATTATTCTGTAAAATCTTACCTGTCTAGAAATTTAGCATTTTCTGATTTTCATGGACCACATGTTCTGTTTGTTGCCTGGAGATGGTGCTAACAACAAACTATGGCCCAGCAAAGACGGGGAAATACTTCCTTAATTTTACATGAAATTCTCACTTAGAGAAATGGCCTAAATTGTTATTGGGCCTTATTATAGGATAGCTCAAGGTATATTATTCAAACATCCTTGCTCATATTCACACAGTTCACTGTAGGTGGGTAGTTGGAAGAGCTGAATTTAGGATGGAATAACTTAGAAATCAAATTATCCAATTCAATTCAAAAATACTTGCAAAGCACCTATAACTAGTAAGCGTCTGTGCCTCATATTGCAGGGGATGTACAGATTAATTAGTGAGTCATTGCCCTCAAGGAGGTTATAATCTCGTTGGGAAGTTGAGATGCACACACACAAGCAAGTAGCTGTGTTGAGAAGTTAAGATGAGCACATAGAATCTGGCTACGATAAGAATCATGAAATAAGTACAAAATGCTATAGAGTCTGAAGAAGAAAAGGCATAAAAGTAGTTCTGGAAATCCAGACAAGTTTTATGGAGAAGGCATTTGAACTAGACCCTACGGGATGAGTAGGGTTTTGAAAAAGATTGGAAAAGAGTCTCAGCAGAAGAGATGGCATGAACAACAGCAATGAAGTGGTTTAGAGGCAGGGGGTATCAGAGCAAAATATGATGACAAGTAGGACGGGGAGAATAGAGGAGGTGGGTGCAGAAAGGCGGTGCCATATTGTGCCAGCCCCTGACCCTGTATGATGGGCAACCCTTGCAGCACTATGACTATGGAAATGCCATGATCAGATTTGCATTTTATTTGTCGCTTGGAAATAGTGCTAATAACAAACTGTGGCCCATAGTTTGTTAGGTTATATTGTTAGGTTATAAAAGGGCCATAGTTCAGATAGGTTATATTTTTTAATAGCATTATTGTAACATATTGTAACTGACATACAATAAACTGTACATATTTAAAGTAAAATTTGACATTTTCACATATGGGACATATATATGAAATATACAACGCTGAACATATCCATCACTCTCAAAAGTTTTCTTGTGCCTGTTTGTAATCGCTCCCTTCAGCACCCAATCCTGCTCGCCATTGCTCTGCTTTCTGTCACTCTTAAGTTTGTTCATATTTGCTAGAGTTTTACATAAATAGAATCATTTGTCTAACTTCTCTCACACAGGGTAATTCTTTGGAGATTCATACACGTCGTGTGTATCAATAGTTTGTCCCTTTTATTGTTGAGTAGTATGCCAGTGTATGGACTTACCACAATCCTATAATTAATTCATCTGTTGAATATCTAAATTGCTTTCAGTCTTTGCCTATTACAAAGAAAGCTATTACAAACATTTTTATATAATTTGTTATTGTAAAATCACATACTCCTTTACTTTACCTAGGAGTAGAATGGCTGGGTTATATGGAAGGAGTATTTTTAACTTTCTCTTTGTCAAATTTGTTTGATTTTTTTAGAAAAGCTTTATCAAGGTGTAATTGACATTCGTAGTAGGTTGGCATGTTGAAAGTCCACAATTTGATAAGTTTTGACATACATAAACATCCATAAAACCAACACCCAATTCAAGATAATAAACATATTCATCAACTCCACAATTTTCTTTTCCTCTGCCTCTCACTCTTCCGTGTACCCACACTTCCCCAGACAACCACTGATCTGCTTTCTATCTCTATCGGCGAGTTTGCATATTCTAGAATTTTATATAAATGTAATCATACAGTATAAATACTTTTTGTCTGGCTTCTTTCACTCAGCGTAATTCTTTTGAGATTCATCTATGCTGTTGCATGTATAATAGTTTATTCCTTTTTATTCTCAAGTAGTATTCCATTGTATGAATGTATCTCAATTTGTTAATCCATTTATGAACACCTGGGCTGCTTCCAGTCTTTAGCTATTACAAGTAAAGCTTCTATGAACACTCGTGACAAATCTTTGTATGGTCATATATTCCCTTACTTAAGAGAAGATGGCTCTTTAACTCTTTTAAAATAAAGTTAAAGGAAAAAAATTAACCATTTAAAAGTGAACAGTTCGAAGGTATTTAGCACATTTGCTGTGTCACACAGCCACCACTTATATCCATTTCCAAAACATTGTCATCACTCCAAAGTAAAACCCCCTTTACCCATTTTATAGTTCCTCCTTATTATGCCTTCCCCCCAGCCCCTGTCACCCACTAAACTGCATTCTGTCTCTAGGGATTTATCTATTCTAGATAGTTCATGTAAATGGAATCATACAATATGTGACCTTCTGCGTCTGGCTCCTTCCACTCAGCATAATGTTTTTGAAATTCATCCACATTGTAGCATGTATCAACACTTTATTCCTTTTTACAGCTAAATGGTATCCATTGTATGTTCAGTTGACCCTCTCACTCAGCATAATGTTTTTGAAATTCATCCACATTGTAGCACGTATCAACACTTTATTCCTTTTTACAGCTAAATGGTATCCATTGTATGTTCAGTTGACCCTCTCTGTATCAGTGGGTTCCTCATCCATGGATTTAACCAAACATGGATCGAAAATATTTGGGGGAAAAAAAACCAATAAAAAATAGCAATACAACAATAAAAATAATACAAATAATAAAACAATATGGTATAACGACTATTTACATAGCATTTACACTGTATTAGGTATAAGTAATCTAAAGATGATTTAAAGTATATGGGAGGATGTGCATAGGTTATATACAAATACAATGCTATTTTACATAAGGGACTTGAGCATCTGTGGATTTTGCTAAGAGTGAGGTCCTGGAATTAATTTCCTGCATATACTGAGGGACAACTGTATATGCCACAGTTTATTTAGTCTTTCATCCATTGACGGACATTTGGGCTGTTTCCATGTTTAGCTATCACGAATAGTGCTGCTATGAACTGAACATGTGTGTACATGCTTTTGTTTGTGTACAAGTTTCAATTCTTTTGGGTGTATACCTAAGATTGGAATTGAGCAATCATGTGCTAATTCTGTTTAACTTCTTGAAGAACTACCAAACTGTTTTCCATAGCAGCTGAACCATTTTGCATTCCACCAGCAGTGTATGAAGTTTCGAATTTCTCCACATCCTTACCAACACTTTCCTTTTTTTTTTTTGTCCCAAACTATAGCCATCCTGTGAGCATAAAGTGGTTTCACATTGTCAATTTGTGTGTGTGTGTGTGTGTGTGTGTGTGTGACCGGTAAGGGGATTGCAACCCTTGGGGTGGTGTCACCTGCACCGCGCTCAGCCAGTGAGTGCACCGGCCATCCCTATATAGGATCCGAACCTGCGGCCTCGGTGCTCCCAGCGGGGCACTCTCCCGAGTGAGCCACAGGGTCGCCCCTTCACATTGTCATTTTGATTTCCATTTCCCTAGTGACTAATGATCTTGCACAACTTCTCATATGCTTATTGGCCAATTGTATATCTTCTTTGGAGGAACGTATGTTCAAGTCCTTTGTCCATTTTTAACTTGAGTTGTTTGTCTTTTTGTTATTGCATTGTAAAAGATTTTTTTTTTTTGTATTTTCTGGATAGTAGGATTGTATCAGATATATGACTTGCAAATATTTTCTCCCATTCTGTAGGTTGTCTTTTCACTTTCTTGATAATGTCCTTTGATGCACAAAAGTTTTTAATTTTGATAAGGTCTAATTTACCCATTTTTCTTTTGTTGCTTGTGGTTTTGGTTTCATATTTAAGAATCCATTGTCCAATTCAAGATCATGAATTTTCTTTTGCTTTTTCTACTAAGGGTTTTATGTTTTTAGGTCTTATATTGAGGTCATTGATTCATTTTGAGTTAACTCTTTTGTTGGATATGATGTAGGAGTCCAAATTCATTCTTTTGCATGTGGATACCCAGTTGTCCAAACACCATTTGTTGAAGAGACTATCCTCTCTCCAATGAACAGCTTTGGCCATTGACATATGAGTTTGTTTCTGAATTCTCAATTCTATTCCATTGGTCTGCATATCTACCCTTATACCAGAACCACAGTCTTGACTACTGTAGCTTTACAGTAAATTTTGAAATTGGGAAGAGTGAATGCTCTGATGCTGCTCTTCTTCAAGATTGTTCTGGCTATTTAGGGCCCCTTGAAATCCCATATGAGTTTAAGAATTGGCTTTTCCATTTCTGCAAAAAATGCCATTGGGATTTTGACAGGGATTGCATTAAATCTGTAGATCACTCTGGGTAATATTGACATCTTAATAATATTGTCTTTCAATCCATGAATATGGGATGTCTTTCAAATTATTTATATCTTCTTTAATTTCTTTTAGCAATGTTTTGTAGTTTCCAATGAACTGGTTTTTCACCTCCTTGGTTAAATTTATCCCTAAGTATTTTATTCTTTAGGATGTTATTGTAAATGGGATTATTTTCTTAATTTCATTTTTAGATTTTTAATAGCTAGTTTGTAGAAATATGACACTTTTGTGTGTTGATCTTATATGCTGCTTCATTTACTTATCATCTCTAGTAATTTTTGTGGATTCTTTGGGATTTTCTATAGTTAGAATCATGTCATCAGAGAATAAAGTTTTACTTCTTCCTTTCCAATTTGGATGCATTTTATTTATTTTTCCTGCCTAAATTTCTCTAGCTAGAACTTCCTGTACAATATTGAATAGCAAGTGTAAAAGTGTGCTTTTTTTGCTCCTCATTTTAGAAGAAAAGCTGTCTTTTTTTTATATTAGTTATAGGTTTTCTATTGATGTCCTTTATTAGGTTGAGGAAGTCTCCTCTTCCTAGCTTGCTAAGAGTTTTTATCAGGAAGAGCAATACTGGCCTCACAGAATAGGTGGGGAAATGTTCTCTCCTCTTTGATTTTTTGGAAGACTTTTTATAGAATTGATATTATTTCTTCCTTAAATGTTTGATAGAGCTTAACCAGTGTAGCCACTTAGGCCTAAAGCTTCCTTATGTGAAGGTTTTTAACTACAGTCCCAATTTCTTTAATAGATACAGGAAGCTATTCGGATGATCTGTTTCTTCAGTGATCTTTGTGAGCTGGTATATTTCAATAAATTTTTCAATTTCACCTAAGCTGTCAAGTTTATTGGAATAAAATTGTTCATAGTATTTCTTCATAAATACCAGTAGAATTTGTAGTTATGTTCCTTCTTCTCTCCTAATATTGGCAACTGTGTCATCTCTCTATTTTTCCGGATCTGTCTGGCTAGGATAGAGATTTATTAATTTTATTGACCTTTTCAAGGGATCAACTTTTGATTTCATTTATTTTTCTCTATTGATTTTCTGTTTTCTATTTCATTAAATTCCACTTTGATCACTATTATTTCCTTTCTTCTGTTTACTTTAGATTTGATTTTGCTCCTTTTTCCCAATTTCTTAAGGTGGAAGTTGAGACATTTTATTTGAGACCTTTCTTCTTTTCTAACATAGGCATTTAGTGCAATAAATTTCCCCCTAATTACTGCTTTAGTGGCATCTACAAATTCTGATATGTTGTGTTTCAATTTTCATCCAGTTCAAACAACTTTTTAATTTTTTTTTCTTTGATCAAGGGGTTAGGATTTTTTTTCAGAGATCTTTCTGTTATTGATTTCTAATTTGATTTCATTGTGCTCCATAAACATACTTTGTATGACTTGAATCCTTTTAAATCTATTGAGAGTTGTTTTATGGCCTGGAATATGGTCTATTTTGGCAAATGTTGCATGTTGCCCTTGAGAAGAATGTGTGTTCTGCCGTTGTTGAGTGGAGTGTTCTATAAATATCAATCAGGTCAAAATTGATTGATCATGTTGTTCAAGTCTACTATGTCCTGTTGATTTTCTACCTATTTGTTCTACCAATAATTGAAAGAAAGTTATTTAAATCTCAGACTATAATTATAGATGTGTCTATTTCTTTACCATTTTTTGCTTCTGGTATTTGAAGGTCTGTTATTAGGTACATATATGTTAGGATTGCTATGTCCTCTTAGGATTAATTGACCCATTTATCATGATGAAATGACCTTCTTTATCCCTAGTAATATTCTTTGCTTTGAAATCTACATTGACATTAATATAACTACGTCAGCTTTCTTTTGACTAATTTTAACATAGTATACCTTTTTTTCCCAATCTTTTACTTGTAACCTACTTGTGCCTTTATATTTAAAGTGTGTTTGTTCTACACGACATATAGTTGGGTCTTGCTTTTTAATCCAATCTGACCATCTTTACCTTTTAATTGGGGGCATTTAGACCATTTACATTTAATGTGATTAATGATATGGTCAGGTTTAAATATATCACATTGTTATTTGTTTTCTGTTTGTCTCATTTATTCTTTGATCTCCCTTTTCCCCTTTTTCTGCCTTCTTTTGAATTGAGTATTTTTTGTGATTCCATTCTATCTTCCTTGTTGACTTATTAGTTATAACTCTCTGCTTTGTTATTTTAGTGGTTTCTTTAGGGTTTATACACATCTTTAATATATCACAGTCTAAGTTCAGGTGATATTATGCCGATTCACATATATAATACAAGAACTTTACAGAAGTTTACCTCCATTTTCCCCTCCTGGATTTAATGCTACTGTCGGAATGCATTTTACTTATACATATGTTATAATCTGCATGATACATTTTTATTATTTTTTTTAAGACAATTGACTTTTTAAATGTTTTAAATAATAAGAAAAAATCTCACATATTTTCCCTTTAGTTACCTTTTCAGTTTTCTTTATTCCTTTGTGTACATTTATATTTTCATCTTCTATCATCTGAATATTTCTTATAGTGCAAACCTCCTGATGATGAATTCTTTTAGCTTTTGTATATCATAAAATGTCTTGATATTACCTTCATTTTTGAAAGATATTTTACTGCATACAGAATCCTGAATGACAGTATTTTTTTTTTTTTTCAGTACTTTAAGTATGTCGCTTCACTTTTTCTGGCTTGCATTGTTCCTCAGGAGAAATTGACGTCTTTGCTCCTTGTCTTTGTTCTGTACGCATCACATCTTTTCCTCTGGCTGATTTTAAGATGTTTTTCTTTATCACTGGTTTGAGCTGTCTGATTATGATGTGCCTTGGTGTACTTTTATTTGTATATCTTGTGTTTGGGACTCATTGAGCTGCTTGGATCTCTGGGTTTATAGTTTTATGTAAAATTTTTAGCATTATTTCTTCAGACATTCCTTCTCCCTTCCTCACTTCGGGGACTCCAATTACTTGCATATTAGGCTACTTGAAATTGTCCACAGTATACCGGAGCTCTTTTTATGCTTTTGAATTCCTTTTTTTACTCTTTGTTTATTTTCATAGTTCCTGTTGCTATGCCTTCAAGTGCATTAATCTTTTCTTCTATAATATCTAATTTGCTGTATTTAATTTTACCCTCATCCAGTGTATTTTTTTCTGAGACATTGTAGTTTTCACCTCTAAAATTTCACTTTGGACTTCTTATGTATTTTCTATATCTACTTGATTTCTTGAAAATACAGTGATAATATCTGTTTTAATGACCTTCTCTGCCACTTCTAACTTCTTTGTCAGTTCTAGGCCCATTTTGATTTTTCACTTTGGACTTCTTATGTATTTTCTATATCTACTTGATTTCTTGAAAATACAGTGATAATAACTGTTTTAATGACCTTCTCTGCCACTTCTAACTTCTTTGTCAGTTCTAGGCCCATTTTGATTAATTGATTTATTCTCCTCATCACAAATCATGTTTTCCTGCCTCTTTGCATGCCTAGCAATCTTTGATTTATTGCCAGACATTTCAAATTTTACTTTTTTGGATACTGAATATTTTTGTATTCCTCCTGAGTTTCACTCTGGGATGCAGTTAAGTTTCCTAGAGACAATATGATCCTTTTAGGCCTTGCTTTTATGATTTGTTAGGTGGATCTGGAGCAGACCCCAGTCTAGGGCTAATTATTCCTCACCACTGAGGCAAGACCTTCCTGAGTACTCTACCCAGTACCCTGTAAATTTTAAGTTTTTTCAGTGTAGCTGGAGGGAACGGGCACTTTTTCTGGCTCTATGTGAGCACTGAATACGGTTTCCTCTAATCTTTTCTAATGGTTCTTTCTTTGCCTCAGGTAGTTCAGCACACATATTTGTTGATCAATACTCTTAAATACTTGAGGGGGAAGCACAAAAGCAAACCACCTGCTATTGAAAATAAGGTGGCAAAAGTGGTTAAATAAAGGAGTTTCTACAATGTTAACTGCTTCCCTGTAAATATTGAAAGTGCAGGCAGTTTCAATTTTGTCTATATTTTCCCAAATGTCCACAAGAATAGTTTTTTTGTCTTTCTTTTTTTTTTAAAAAGTAGCTTGGTTTTGCTTTCACATTTAGGTGGTAGGTATAGTTTGTCCTTTGTTTTGGAAAAGGCAGCTTTTACTAAAGAATTAGAGCTTCTTTATTAAGTAGAAACAGAATCAGGATTTGGTAATTCAGCTGTTGGGACCATTATGCCAGTATCCAGTAATTCTGGCAAGGTGGCTGCCCTTACCTTCCTTCCCTCTCCAACTTCTGCAGCAACTTCACCTGCTTCCCCCACCCCACCCCAAAAAAGCCACTTTTGCCATCTCATTTTTAATAGCAGGTGGTTTTGTTTTTGTTTGCTCAGCCAAAGAGCAATGCAGAATTTTCTTGCTCCTGCAGTGGGAATGGAGACAAACATTGGCTCAAATCTAGAGAACCAACGACATACTCCAGAAACAGAGCCAGACAGGTGTGAGCTGAATTAAAGTGCTGTTAAATGTTGTCTGAATGAAAGGCCTGGCTGTGGGTGAATGAAAATCACACAATTGATCCTGTTCTTGGGCTATTATAGATGTACTTTTTCGTAACTGAAAAATGTGAAGACCTTTCCTGGAATAAATACTGGTTTTCAATTGAAGCAGTTCTTTTCAGAAATTTATGGGCAACAAACTGAGTTCTGTTCACTTTCTTTTATTAGGCAAACAAATTACATTTTATTATGAAATCTGCAAACAAGGTTACTTTATTAAATCGCCACCTCCTCAGCTTTTCTTCTCTGTGGTAAGTAGTCAACAAGATTTAACAAGCCTCTCACCAGCTTCATGAGCATTTTTAAAAATCCTTTCTCTTCCTCTGAAATTTAACTGAGATGCAAAAATGTTTTCATTTTTCAGACCTCTTGGAAAAAGCGCTATTTCACCCTGTCAAAGACTGGGGAAAAGAGATTTAGTCTTTCCTATTACAAAGACCACCATTACCGAGGTTCCATTGAAATTGATCGGTGTGTATTCAAGCAAGAAAACTTTTCTAATAGCAAATACTACAAAGCCAAATACTAACAAGTTGAATGCAAATTGAAATTTAAATCATTGAACAAAGAAACCATGAACTTATAACGTTTGTGACTGAAAAGGAGCTAAAATAGTGAAACTAGTGAAAGATAATTACTTCTTTTATATTGTATGTTATAGTTTGTAAATCTTTAATTAATAAGCATTCATTTAAGGAAGACTTTGATTCACATAATTTGTGGAGGAGAGGGAACAGAAACAGACAAAATTACCATTTCATAAAGCCAAGATAAAATTTTTTAAAAATTAGGTCAGCTTTTTTTTTTTTCTCTTCTCTTTAAGAAATTATATACCAGGGGCCGGCCCGGTGCGCAGCTTGGGAGTGTGGCGGCGCTCCCGCCGAGGGTTCGGATCCCACATACAGACCGGTTCCCGCTCACTGACTGAGCAAGGTGCGGGCGCAGCACCGAGGGTTGCGATCCCGTTGCCGGTCCCGGCCGGGTACGGGTGCGACACTGAGGGTTGCGATCCATTGCCGGACACGAAAAAAGACAAAAAGGAAAAAAAAAAAAAGAAATTATATACCAAAAAAATTGAAAAAGATAATGATTTGTGAAATCAAGAATCCCACTGAAATAGGAACTTTTGAATTAAATTTTAGGCTAAACAAAGTCTTTCCAAATAATGATAAACCAGATTCAAAATCCAAACTTATTTTCTAAAATTATTGGACAATCTTCAAAACGTGGATCAAGCCCATCTAAAGTTTTATTCAATTTAAATCCCAATATAAAACATCAGTCAGTTTTCTTCTTAATTTTGTATGTACACTGATTTAATACTTAGTGTCTCTATCTAACAGGAATTCCAGTGTAGAAGTTGGCATAAGTAGCCAGGAAAAGATGCAGTCTGTGCAGAAGATGTTTAAGTGCCACCCTGAAGAGGTGATGTCCATCAGGACCACTGACAGGGAATACTTCCTCATTGGCCAAGACAGGTGAGTAGGAAGAAAACACAGAGCGTCTCCCACGTGCAAAACAAAAACAAGCCAAAAAACTACACCATATAAACCAGTGAACAAGAAACATGCTCTCAACAGAAACCCATGGCTGTTACCTCAAGAGCCATCTTGGCCATCTTCATTATTTGTTAAAACACCTTGAAAAGTCACGTGCTAGTTTCCTAAAGGTGTCATAACAAAGTATCACAAATTGGGTGGCTTAGAACAACAGAAATGCATTGTCTCATTGTTCTGGAGGCTGGGAGTCTGAAATCAAGGTGTCGGCAGGGCCGTGCTCCCTCTGAAGGTTCTAGGGGAGGACCTGCTCCAGGTCTTTCTTCTAACTTCTAGTAGTGCCTCGGCTTGTGGCAGCATAATCCAGTCTTCACATGGTGTTGTCCCTGTGTGCACATTTCTGTGTCCAAATTTCCCCCTTTCAGGACACGAGTCATATTGGATTAGGAGCCTGCCCTACTCTAGTATGACCTCATCTTAACTAACTACATCTACGATGATCCTATTTCCAAATAATAAGGTCACATTCTGAGGTCCTGGGAGTTGGGACTGTAACCTATGAATTTTTGGCAGGGGGGACACAATTCAACCCATAACAATCACCATCACCCGAGATGCATTTCATGTAAAAGAACGCAATATACAAACACCTGTACAAGCTACATGTATTAAGGAGGGACTGTGCTCATCCCTGAAGGAGTCTTCAGTTTTTAGAAGAAGCTCCTTGTGCTAGCAGAGGTGCGTAGTGGGTTCTCTGTAGAGGATTATCTGCTTGAGGGAGAGGCCAGGGCTGGGGGGAGAGGTTCTGTACAAGTTACATGTATTAAGGAGGGACTGTGCTCATCCCTGAAGGAGTCTTCAGTTTTTAGAAGAAGCTCCTTGTGCTAGCAGAGGTGTGTAGTGGGTTCTCTGTAGAGGATTATCTGCTTGAGGGAGAGGCCAGGGCTGGGGGGAGAGGTCGTGCAGAGGAGGCAGTGAATGAATGCTAAAGCCAAAGAATGAAGAACCTTGACCTGCTTCAGATCGACCCAAAGGACAAAGCTTCCTTTTAAATTGTCATGTGAGTCAAACAGAAAAGAAGATGTGATTTATGCAAAGTCATTTGAGCACATTCTTCCTAGACACATGCATTCCCTAAAGGGAGGCACACCTGGATAGCTGCACAAAAAATGGCGCTGACAGGTTAGGGAGCTCCCTTAAGAACATGAAAGAAATCAGTGTCATAGCCCAAAGCTCCAAACACTGCGATTACTACTATCATTTTCTGCTTTTCTTACCATTTTTCTGAGCTTTCCTCACAGAGGTGCTATGAGGTTCATTCCAGCATGTGAACATGGAGGTGGTAAGGAGCCTGGGGGCCATTTAAGCTATTTAGGAAAGATCCTGATTTCCCTGGAACTTGCTCCCACTTCCTGTTCTATCCCTAATAAAAGAATCCTTCTCTGATTCAAAAGGAGTGCAGGCACTATTGTTGCCACATGCCAGCTCAAATTTATTCCTATCAATAGGGAGAAGATTAAAGACTGGGTCTCCTTCATATCATTGTGCCGGGATACGGAAGCAGCACATCAGAACACAAAGGTGACTATATCACTAATCAAATAACAGGGCACCTGAACACAACCCTCTTTCAACAGGAAACAATGGTAGCTTTTTTTTTTTCTCCTTAGCAACTGGCATTAATACAAGGAATAAATAAGTGAGAAAGTGAACATCTTTGTTATTTTTTATGATTATCAATGGGGAAAAATGCTTTTGTGTTTTATGAGAGATCTAAAATACAGACACTTCACAATTTCATTATTGTGGTAGGGGGTGTGAAAGTTAACTAACATTTTTTAATAATAGCCAAAACTACAGTATTTTCCATCATTGTTATTCAAAGTACATAACAAGCTTCCTTTCGAATGACTAAGTCTAGGGCGGTTTCTATAAAAATGCTTTTCCTCTGACTTGCATTTTTAGTATCATGTCTCTTTCATGTAAGTGCTAGTAGCTTCACATTGTTAATTTACTTCATAAAGGCCTTTACTAATTTACTCAAGTCCTTTCCTAGGGCAGACCTTTATAAATGGATCTTTGGTCTCTAGGTATCTTTTTTGACATATTTTCTAGGTCGTTCAATGCTCATAGCAAAAGCACAAGCCAAGGAGAAAGAGAAAGCAAGGCATGTCTACAAATAGACTTGAGTGATCAGAGCAAAGGGGGTGGGGAGCAGGAGACACAGCTGAGAAGATAGGTTGAGGGAAACTCAGGGCATCTCTGAAGGCCAGGTGGAACGTGCTCAAGTGCCTGGGAACGGGAGAGAGATAAGATCAGCTCCTGTCTTAGGGAAATAATGCTGGCTGGCTGGCAGCACACATGTTAGATGCTGTGGGGAGAGAATGGAAGCAGGCAGCCCAGCAGAAAGACGGTTGCTACATGCTGGACAAGAGCTCAACCATTCCCTGACCACACTATTCCTTTTTCATAAGCAGGAGAAACTCTCATTGGATGATCAAAGGCCCGTGTCAGACCCCAACCCTCTCCTTGGTTTTTCCAGCACATCAGAGGCTGTTGGCTTCACCCTACCAAGAAACAGTCTTCCAGACATGGTAATCAAACTCAGCTCTTTCTCTCTCAGGACACCATGCCTTGAAGTCAGCTAACACTTCCAAATCTTACCAATTAGCAGTTGAGTTTGACCTTGTCTACCTTCCTCAAAACCTAATGCACTTTAAGAAGAATTCTTAGTCCTAATATCTATCCTATATTTAGCCTGTTTTCCCATACCACAGCTGAGCCTTATTGCTTGCCCTGCCTAACCGTAAATGTGTCTGTTCATTTTGGATGCTCTTGACATGCATCAGGGTGCACTAGGTAAGATCCCTCAGCTACTCAAAGCCTGCCTGGCAATCTTTTTCTTCCTTCCACACAAGGGCACAGATCCCTCTGTAAAAAGATTCCCTAAACACCACATGTTGGGTGATTTCTTGCCATACTGCCTGTACTCCTCAGACAAACGCAGAGTTTCTTACTAATTTCTTTCATTTACTCTCACCAGTCTTGCTTGTCATTATGTCTGTACATCATTTTATCTCCATTTCTAATGAAATCCATTGGAGGAAGTAAAATATAGTACATCTGCCTCCTGAGAGTGACTTGTAATGTACCCTCAGCTTTCTTGTGTTTGCACTGTTCCCCACTTTGGATATTAGTAATAAACAAGCTGAGTGTTTTTGTTTTCTGCATGGATACTATTTTGTCCCTTAGGGACATAGCCATTAACTTTCCCCTCTCTGTGGGTACCAGGCACATCTAATTTTATCTAGTTGGTAGCTTTCCAACTATTTTAAAAGCTTTTTGTTGCATATCAAATTCACCAGGCCAAACACCTCATCTCAGTTATTCGTGGAGTGAGTAGGAAGAGTGGCATGAAGCAGGGTTAGGAAGGCTGAAGCTTTTTAGTAAATGCCTCTTGCTTTTCACTCATGAAATCCCATTTCCCCCAGAGACAACATGATTAAATGTTTTGCCTTTTCACACTATGTGATCAGATGCAGTGATTTTTCAACCAGCTCCAGTTAAGAATACCATTTGCCTCGTTGGATTTTGTTGTTGTTATTGTTGTTTAGATTAAGTGGGAATCCTTCACCTCCAACTCAGCATGATCTGGCTCCATGAGCTAAGAGCTAGAAAAATGAACACAGTTTAAATACACTTGTTATTTTAAATCACCTTCTTTCAAGGACTTCTTAGAAAACATCCAGAGTCTTTTTAAAACCCCCAGCTTTAAGTCATTGTTCTTGGAAGAATTATATCGTACTTATAACAATTTCTCTGCCACGCAAAGCAGATACCTTAGCAGAGTATCATATATCTATTGGTGGAGCAAAGGCAATAATTGGTTGAACCTAGATCACCTTGAAGCCTATAATCCATGCTGTTACATGATCAACCCTACCAAATTGCATTGCTATGGAAACAATAGAAATATGTGAGCAGAACAGAAAAGAGAATATTGAGCAGGAAGAGGAAAGGTGCAGTGTCTTGCCTCTAAGTTAATTACCTCCTCAGATGGCACTGTATGATAATGGAAAATGATGGCAGTGGAGACTCTATGGGAGAACCTAGTGACTTAGAATACCACCCATGGGAGAAAACCACTTGTTCTAAGTTATAGCTCGAAGTGGTAGAGAAAAAGCCTGAATGATGTGCTTATATTTTTACAATATTAGTATTGACCCAAACTCAAGAGGCAAGTTCAAGTTGTGTGGGATTCTGGATGTAACCTTGGAAGAACCTGTGATCTTTTTAACTCAACTAATCTATTATGGCTTTTCCAGAAAGCGTGAGGTTTAGTTCCATCTCTTGCAAAGAAAAAAAGCACTAATACTCTCTTCATCTCTTTGATTCAGCACTTAATGGGAAAACATTCTCCAGGATACAGACAAGCTCATCCACCACATGAGGACTTGTTGGCGCCCGCTCCAGAAATGGAAGAAGAGGATCGTTATCTTAATCCTCGAAGTATTCTTTTAGAGGTAATCCCATCTATCCTTTAATCATGTATTCCTTTTTTGTCTTTTTGTCTTTTTCCGTGTCCGGTCACGGATCGCAACCCTCAGTGTTGCCCCCGCACCGGACCGGGGACCGGCAACGGGATCGCAACCCTCGGTGTTGCTCCCGCGCCTCGCTCAACCAGTGAGTGGGAACCGGTCTGTATGTGGGATCCGAACCCTCGGGCGGGAGCGCCGCCGCGCTTCCCAAGCGGCGCACTATCCAGTGCGCCACTGGGCCGGCCCTAATCATGTATTCCTTTAACAAATATTTCCTGAGTCTCTGCCATGCACAGACCCTAGGCTATGGTCAGTGGGAACACAGAGGTAAATCAGACACAGGGGGTGTGCTCATGGTGCTGACACTTGCATAGGAGCCAACCATGATACAAGACAGTAGGGGCTCCCTGCTGAAGAGAGATGTTTATAAAATGCCCAAAGGTGAACAAAGGATGGGAGGAGGGGGAGCCAACTTGCAGACAAAAGACCAGGAAAAGTTCCACAGAGGAGATGACATTTGGCCTTACTTGGTGGGTAGAATTTGGACTTGAGGCATTGACTTAGGGAGTCTTTCTGAATTCTGGGAAGAAAGAATAATGTGAGCAAATGTCCTTGGGTGATAAATTGGAGTGTATTGATCAGTCTATTGAACAATTGGAAGACCTCACTGAGTGCCTTCTGAGAGCTAGGCACTGTATTGTAGAAGGTGTGGTGGCTGCAATGGTGAACCTGAAATGCATTATTTCCCATACTGGAATTTTTCTATAAGATGGTAACATGTGTCTATACAAAAGAAGCATTCTGGGCTGAAGTAAGTTCTGGAAACACCAAGTTAAAGTAAGTTAAACAAGCTTCTTAACAGCAGAATTCTCAGAGCCTTTAGTATACAGTGGTGTATACTAAAAATATTATAAATGGCTAAGTGGGATATAACACACAGCATTTCCCAAGCTCATTTGAGCACAGGGCACTTCTTTCACCAAAAATATTTTCACGGGCCAGCCCGGTGGCGCACTCGGTAGAGTGTGGTGCTTGGGAGTGGCGGTGCTCCCGCCAAGGGTTCGGATCCCATATAGAGACCGGTCTGCTCACTGGTTGAGCGCGGTGTGGGTGCGACACCGAGGGTTGCGATCCCGTTACCGGTCACGAAAAAAGACAAAAAGGAAAAAAAAATATTTTCATACACTAATATTTTCTTATGTGTTCTTTTTTTGATAGTCTTTTATGATAGTCCAACCAACCAATCAGGTGTGTATTGAGCATCATTTATAAGCCTGTCATGTGTAAGGTACTTTGTAGTATGCAAAGCCTAATAAGGCAGATAAAACTAAGCTAAAAGACAAACAAAAATTAAGTACAAAATTCTGCACTAGAAATTCAGAGAAAGGAGAGATCGGCAGTGGCTGAGGTGACCAGAGGAGGCTGTGGGACTTTGGCCAGGTCTCAACAGTATATCAATAGGCAGAAGAGAAAACGGGCATTCCAGGTGAAGGAAACAGCATGAACAGAGGACTAGAAGAGCCACATCTGTAGCAGGAGCAGTGAGAAATCTAGCTTGACAGGAATGAAGTGTTCTAGTTATGGGTTGATGATGAACTTGTTAAGGAGGCCTAAGGGTTTTTGAGCAACCATATAGCAAATGACTGTCTTAGTTCTAAAGGGGCTATTAAGTGCTTCCCGAGGGAAAGGGCTGGTCAATGAGCTCAACTGGTTAGAGCACGGTGTTATAACACCAAGGTGACAGGTTCAGATCTCCACACCAGCCAGCCACACACACACATACAAAACACTAAAGCCAAGGGAACCAACTTGGATTGACTGTGAGCATAGTAGCCTGAGACCAGCTTTGCATTATGTCTGTCATTGACCCAGCTGAGTGCTATGATTCTGCAGTGGAACTGATGGGGGAAAAGGGTTCAAGTCATTAAGTGCCTCACGATGAAACAGAATTGGTAAATAGCAATTTAGTCCAATAGAACACTTGTATCAGGAGCATGAGGGACCCAGGAGAGAAAATGGACTTGGAGTCTGCCAGAAGCTTTGCTGGTTCAGTCTCATGAAGGTAGGGATGGTTGATATTCCCCAAATGAGAACCACTGTTCATCCAATGGGATGTACTCACGATTTCTGGGCCCAGAGCCATAATATTAGGGGTAAAAAGGTACCTGACTTGCTGGTACATTCTCATCCTTGTGTCTTTTCCTCTTGCCTTTAGTTGGAAAATATCATTACTTCCCATGATTCTGGTGAATCCATTGAACCTGGTAGTCCAGACCAGGTCTTCAAGAGAAATGAGTGTCATTATATGTCAATGAAATCCTGGTAAGTAAAATTGCTATTTCTAAAATTGATTTTACCTAATCTGCTATTATGGAACAATTACTACCAGCTCATTTTAATAGTTGGTAAATTGATACAAAACATTGCCACAGACCAAATTCAACACATTATTCAGTATATCAAAACAAGACAAAGTGGCAATGGTTTCTCCACCCCCAGTAAATCATTTGTGACATCAGCAGGACATTTTTTGTCTCCTGGGGAAGTTATTTTCTTTTTTGCATTTATGTTTCTCACACTCTCACTTCCATCTTCCAAACCTTGTAAAGGGTTATTTTGATTCCACATCCATTTTTAGAAAGAAGGTTTGTTGGATTTGATTGTGGCAGTGGCTGTGATTTCGATGGTTAGACATCCTTTAAAACCTTGTTAGTTTTCACATGGCTGTTAGCTACTTAAAGCTGACACACAGCAGAAAGTCATAAATAGACATGCTAAAAAAGAGTTTGCTTAACTTCTTATACTCCAGTGTTTTCAACAAGACATCCCATGAGTCTGCTGATAGCAAAGAGGAATCACAGACCCTTTCAGAGACCCCGGATGGGGGGCTTCACCTGCAAGAACAAGGCTCAGGAAGTGATTCGTGTCTTTCACCTGCCTGTATGGAAGCACAGACCACAAAGGACGAAAAGGGGTCGGCCTCCCTAACTGTTGTGCAATTGTCTATATTAATCAAGTAAAGCTCCAATTTTTAAAACTTTATGGGCCCTAAGAACAAGGCAGCCTCCCCCTTTTTGTACTTAGGATTCAAATTATAAAGCAGTTCCTAAAAAATCTCCAAGTCAGGCAACAGTTTGAGCAGCTTCTCCCTGTCACTGATGTTGTAGCCAAGGACAATGAATAACAGAGCTGGAGCAAAGCAGTCTCCTGGGCTGGGGGTGGCATTATCAATAATTTTTTTAAAATCTCCTTTGGCTAGTCTGTCAGTTCCTGGCACTTCAGATGCACGCAGCTTTTATATCAGCGTGATTTTGGGCACACAAGTCATGTGAGGTTTGGTTATAAAATAGGAGGGAGATGTTTAGGTTTTAAGTGATGCCAAGGGCCTTTGATAAGATTGCTGTAATGTTAACTCCTCTCCTTCTCTTCTTCTATGGAATCATTTCCAGCAGCAAAATATGCAAACTGGCTGCTGTGGATGGCTAACCCCAATTTAGTCTATTTTTGCCTCTCTTCCCAATGTCTGCCATCCACTATCACATCCCAAGAGGGGTGGGGAAAGACATTAGTGAGTACTCTTCAGTTACTTAAATTCACATTTTTCTCCAAATGATGTGGATAACCTTTAAGTGGAAAATATCTCAGAAATAGGAGGCCAAAATTCTACTCAGAAAGCACAGTTCAGAGTGAGGGCCAGTTGCCTGATATGATTTTTGCAATGTCTTATCTCATAGTAACATCCCTGCTAAGAGCCAAGTGGAAGAACTGAACGTGTTCCTCTATCCTCCTGACGTCATAAACTATCTTGCTCTCAGAGAAGCCGCAGGACAGATATGGTAGGTCAGAGATTTGACTGTTATTGATTATAAATGAGGTTGAAAGATACAAAGACAACAATTATATTTTGAAACACTGTATTTGATAAAACTGACCGGGAGGCTTGGACTGCTGTGTTGTGTTGTCACAAGAAGGTCTTTGAATGGGGTCAAAAGAAGGGTATTGCGTGGAGAGTCAGCTGAGAGGTGGGTGGTTATAAGAGGACCCAAAGTTCAGGAAGCAGCAGATGTCTGATTTCTCCAAGGTGAGGAAGAGTAGGAAGGAATACACACCGTCCAAGGACATCATTCCAATCACTGCACAATGAGTATTTGATGAGTGAATGAAGTTAATGAAGTCAACAAGAATCAAACGTCTAAAAGAAAAGGGCATATCAGGGTCTAAGACTTCCAGACACCAGAAAGTAGCCTGCTGGTCAGGGTCTCAGACCCAAAAGGCTGTGTGGCACAATATGCTCTCAAAGTAATCACTGTTTATTTGATTCTACATTCTTTTAAAGACTTTGTTCATTTTGAAGGAAGATTACATTTTCAGAAGGGAAGAAAGCCATTTAATAGAAAGTAAATGCTACCCATTTGTTGTCTTATAAGTTCTAAGCAGGCAGGAAACACAGCCTTCCATTTTTCCAAATTTTCCACTGTCTAAGGCTTGTTAAATACTTGACCAAGACTGTGACTTCTCTGTGACTGAGATTGCTCATTGGTTGACTCATTCATTCATTCATTTGATATTCATTGTATAATCATTATGTGCTCACTTCCAACAAGCACTTACTAAGCACCCTCTGCTACTTTGGAGCTATGGGGTTTTTTAATTAAGAAAAGAAACAAAAACAAAAAGGTGGCACCATATTTCCAAGGTCACAGAGCCTGGTGAAAAAGGCAGTCACATAAACAAGTAAATATAAAATGCATTTTACTTAAATATATGTTAAATGAGTTCTCACACAGAATAGAAGTCCAGGGCAGAGGAGAATAATCATAGCAAAGGTGGTGGAATGTAGGCCTTCAGAGGGTTTTGCAAGGGTGGTATGATTTGAGCTGAGCTTTGGAGGAAGGGTGAGGCTCCAAAGTCGTGGTAGAGGAAAGAATATTCCAAACTGAAAGATGTGGTGCACCATGGCTTAAGAGTGAGGCCCCCCGCAGTCCCCCCAGAGAGCCCGGTCTCACACTGTCTTTTCGCTGCAGTGTGGCGCGGTGGGAAGGCCCCCCGCGCTTGGGATGCATGTTCTGCCATGGAGATCGTCTCTTAGCAGTAAATGACCTAAAGCCCCAGAGCCTGGAGGAGGTCTCCTTGTTTCTCAGCCGGTCCATCCCAAAGGAGGTGAGTCCTACTGACCAGCCCTTGCCAGGGCACGTCAGGGCCAGCAGGAACAAGATCAAGGTCTCAGATGGGGTCTGAAAAGTACTCTGAATACAAATAAGACTCTTCCTTCTTCTGCCATCAAGTGTAAATGACAGAATGTTCTTTTTGGACTCTTTCAAAGTTGTTTCATGTAAAGTAGTATTTGGAGAGAGCATTGGGCTAGCACAATATGGCAAAAAGAGCTTGTGTGGAATCAGACTGGCTCGAGGTTTGCAAACCAGCCCCTTTAACCAGTTTGTGCCTCAGTTTTCTCTTCTGTAAAGTTAGGTATAATGATAGTACCAGTTGTTGGAGAACTAAAGGAGATGATACGTGTACTATGCTGACAACAGTGACTGCACTTATTAGGTACTTGATACAGTCACTGGTTACTTTTACTTCCACGACTACTGACCGTGGAATGTGGGACAACTCACTTTTTTAAGCCTCAGTTTCCTCATCTCACAAATTATCATAGCCGTACCTTCCTTATAGTTACTTTTACTTCCACGACTACTGACCGTGGAATGTGGGACGACTCACTTTTTTAAGCCTCAGTTTCCTCATCTCACAAATTATCATAGCCGTACCTTCCTTATAGAGTTGTTGAAGAATTAAACAAGACACGTGGGTATGCACTGAGCATGCCTGCACTTGAAGGATTAACCATTGTCCCACGTGTCAGGGCAGTCTGCACATTGCTCATCCCTTCCCTGGTCTACTGTTGTTTCTAACTAGCCCCCTGACCTTAAAATCACTTTCTTCTCTTAGCTTCAGTTACTTCTTTCTAAACAGAAAGGATTGGTTTTCAAACTGTACTTCTCGGATCCCTGGGATAGCGAGTAGGGAGGGGAAGGAGACAGTATTTTGGGACTTCAACTAGAGAAGTCGACATTTATCTTTTATCATTTATAAAAAGGATATATCCAAAATACCAAACTATTCTGTTAGCTTTCCTTGGAGAAACAGTTCCTTGGCTTAAATTTTCTGAAAACCACGATACTAGGTGATCTCCCAAATTTCTTCCAGTTCTGAGAGTTTATGATTACGTATCACACGTATATTAAGAAAATATCTTATCTCTTCTATATCACACAATAACCGTGTTGGTTAGATAAATTTTACTATCTCTATTATCTAAATGGGTAAAGCCAGTAAGGATGAGTGAGTTGTCTAAGATACAGAACTAGTCAGTGGCAGAGCAAGGACAGGACACATTCAGTCATTCACTCTCTCTCTCTCCATTTATTGAACTTTACCATATACTGGTTCTAGAGCCACAAGAATGGCCTCAGCCTAAGCTTAAGGAGCTCACAGATTAAGTGGATAAAACAGGCATGTTATGTGCTACTTACAATACAGGGTGTGCCCTGAGATACGAACAGAGGGCCTTGGGAGCAAAGGGGAAGAATGGAGGAAGTCTATTGAAAGGAGGCCAGAAGGGTGTCTCAGTGGAGGTGGTGTTTGGCTTGGGTTTTGAAGACTACCCAGCAGTTTGCATGGTAGAAAAGAGGGCAGAGACCCAGTCCAACAATCTGGTAACTGTAATACATTTCCTATGCCAAAGATCCATACTGGGGCCAAGTGGTCAATACAATCTTCTGAACCCTTCTGAAAGTTACTAAACAGTACTCTGACCCAAAGATTTGGGCATCGGTTCGGAAGCCAAAAAAAGAGTTTTTGCCTGGGAGCAGATTCAGGAACTCTCTCTGGGTGCTGCTGACTACAGTTCATTGTGACTGCCTGTCCAGGCTGTGGAACCACTTGCATGGGAAGGGGTGACTGGGTTTCTATTGTGCTTGTTCTACCTTCCCCTTTCTATCACATAACAACTCCTAGATGCTTTTGAGAAATAAGGGGTGTGCACTGTCATGATTGTCTGAAGATCAGGAAAATCCCCTACTTTTCCACTCCCACCGTTCCTGACTCATTTCCTTATGTTAAAGTGGATGTCCAATCCTCTTTTAAAATTCCAATTCTGGGTCTCTGGAAGGAATGTTGAAAGAGGGAGCTATGGAACTGAAGGAAAATCAGCCAATGACCCCCAATGATTTAAAATGCCTGAGACTATCAGAGCTCCCTTCCTTCCTGTTAGGCCACAGCTGAGCGAAATGGGAGATTAGGGTAGGGACAGTGACAGGGGAGAGAATGTGAGGTTTTAAAAGGCAGGGGGCGGGGGATGTGTGTGTGTGTGAAGGGGGAGGACATGCTAGATTGCAGGAGAAACTCATCAAACTTCAATTTCCTCCCAATTTTGTCTGGGGCTGGTCCTGTCTGGTGGTCTCATTTTAATTCACCAGTTTCAAGAGGCTCTTTTAATTCTTGGCACAACTGGGCCCATCTGGGCACTGTTGATGCTCTCTGGAATCTGCCCTAAAGGCTCAGCCTGGTGGATGCCAGAAAATAAAAATCCATCTTCCACCTGAATATATAAGACACCCCTGGCTTCCTCTGGCCTAGATATTGTAGTTCATCGCAGGATTTTCTTCAAAAGCTGCATCGAAGGGTGTAAATGAGGACAGACTAAGAACCAACAGTCCTAAAAAGAATCGTTAGTCATTTAATTTTCTTCTTTCTTGTGTCTTAGAAGGTAAAACTCACCATCAGTCGGATCCCAAATTCAGAGAAATTCCATGCGGTAGCCTGTAAGTGCCCCTTAAAATGCCAAGATGTTGCACCCTTGCAACAGGATGGTTCTAGACTGCAGAGGGCACCAAAGAGGAATCCAGCCATTAAAAAGGGTCTGCAGAAAGAAACTAGAGAGTAACTTGCCACAGGCCCACTGCAGGGGAACGAGGATGGAGCTCTGGACTCTGTGTCAGTCTCTGCCACTCGCTGCCCTGTGACATGAGACAAGCCAGCACTCCGCTCTGAATGTCCACATCTGCATCTTAACAATGGGGATAACTATCCCCTCTCTGGCTAATGCATCAGGGAAGTATAGAGCACCAAGTGGGATAATGACTGTGGAACACAGTGAAAAAGGAAGGCCTTATTATCTGGGACTTTGTCCCAAACACCACGAACACAGATTGGGTAAGTCCCTCATCTAATATGCACTGTGCGTTCTGTGAGGTCATGGCCCATACAATCCCTTCTTTGTTAGGGAACGTACAGTTGGAAATACTCATTTCAGGAAGGCCAGATTCCCAAGAGAGATGTGATACCCTATCAGCCTTCCCAAACACCTCCCGTGAGTCATCATCCCCTCATTGTCCAGAATGCTGAGACAGAGTGGCCTCTTGGATTCAATGAGTACCTTGTTTTCTTAAAGACCCAGTGACTATTTTAGAAGTCAAGCACTTGTAGGTCCTATCCAGCAAAGATCTGCTTGCTCTACAAGTGGTAAGAGAACGACTTAGCACTTCTAAGTTTGAAAGGTCTTAACTAACTGATGCATTAATAATTGATTCTGGAAACCCAAAAGAGTTAAATACTTTTCCACAAATAGGAAAACAAAAGCAGAAAGCAAAATCTTTCATACTTCTAAGTTTGAAAGGTCTTAACTAACTGATGCATTAATAATTGATTCTGGAAGCCCAAAAGAGTTAAATACTTTTCCACAAATAGGAAAACAAAAGCAGAAAGCAAAATCTTTCATCAAATCGGGGAATGTTAGAGCAAAAATCAGGGACTCCAGAAAACATACCTTACCATATTGTCATTTCACGTGAAAGAAATCAAGGCCTCAGTATGGCTCCAAGTTGCATAGCTGTTTAGTCGCACAACCAGGAATCTGAAAGCAGCCCTGGGAAACCAACGTCCTGATCCTCACCTTGTACCTGGATTTCGATTTGAGAAGACCTTTAGCACTTAGCAGAGACATTCAAATACAGTTCATTTTCTGTCATCCGGATGGTTCAGAAAGTGTAAACAATTTTCATTTGCATGCCCTAATTGACCTACTGTTTCTATGTTTAGAAATTTATCTTATAGAAATAGTCACATGAATACACAAAGATATCTGTAAAAAAAACAACCAAAGTTTACTGTAGCACTGTATCATCGTAATAATAAAAAAAAAAATCACTTGGGGATCGCTTAACTATGATTTCATATAACTGAACACTGCAGGTGTTAAAAAGTTTGGCCTGTACAGTTATGGAAAAGTATTCTTGATATATTAAAAATGAAAGAAGCACTTGCAGTACAGTTGGCATAACATCATCCCATTTTTGCAAAAATAAATTTTTGGTGTTTGTGCGTGTGTAATGTGTATATAAAATTTCCCCAAACCTAACGAGGGAGAGAGATTCCTACTTCACAGGATTGTCGTGAGGTTTAAACATATGTACACTTCCTGGTACCCGGCAAACACTCAATAGTTGTTAGTTGTACTGCTGCTGCTCTGACATGCTTTTTTCAAAGTTTACAGTAACATACATTAAATTGTCAAAAAGCCTTATCTCTACGGAGTACCATCAGGATTGGTCATGGGGGAGAGGCATTTCTGCAATGTTTTGAATTTTTCCTTTTTTCTTTTTTTTTTGCAATGAGCATATGTCACTTTTATAATGAAAAAAATGTGTGGAAAAATATATATATGAATTTTTTCAACCTTTATAAGTGAGAATCTAAGCCACCTCAGGGAAAGAAATAAAAAACCTTCAAGTTAAAACCACCTGGCAACCAAAAATGTGGATAGATACACTGCCTTGAAGCCCAAAGATCCTTCGCCTGGTTTGCTCAGAAGGCTATGCTGCAATGCCAGTAAAAGCTAAAACAAGGTAGGTGTATAAACCTTAGCCATCAACTCCTTCCACCCCCCTCATTGAGCCAAAGGAGAGCCTGAAGCCTAAGAAGTTGGCTCACAGAAGGGTAGGGACCAGGACATGGAACTCCTGGCTCCCAGTCCCATGCTCTTCCCAGTACACCAGTAAGAGCCTCCAGTTTGCTCCTGACCCTCCCTTAATCCCAGAACTTTCCACCTGCAGCACAATCAACTGGGGTTCTTGTTAGGAGGATCCTGCTCTGGAGGCCTCTCCAACAAGAAGGGCTTTGCTCCCAACTGCTCCTGACCCTCCCTTAATCCCAGAACTTTCCACCTGCAGCACAATCAACTAGGGTTCTTGTTAGGAGGATCCTGCTCTGGAGGCCTCTCCAACAAGAAGGGCTTTGCTCCCAAAAGGAAATCTCAGGGCCAATTCAAAGGTCTCCCCAACCCTGAGATTCTGATTCAGTAGGTCCAGTGTAGGGCCCTGGAATCTGCCTTCTAATGACCACCCCCCAGGGATTTGATGGAGGGTGGACCAGGGAACACACATTGGGGAGCATCATTGCAGGGTCCCATGGAGAAGCCACCAAGTGTAGAGTATACATGTGTGTGTTTTAGAGGGGAGAGGGCTCATAGTTTTCAACAGTTTCAAAAGAGACTAATGACCGTCGCCCCTACCCTACCTCCAAAAAAGAACCTGGTCCCAAAGGGAGAAGTCTAGTTTTCACTGCTTGTTCTCTGCTGCTTGGGGATCAGCCCAGCCAGTGCCTGGAAGATGCAACGGCCCTGATGGGCAGTTGAAGAGGAGAAAGGAGCCCCAAGCTTTGGCCGCAGGCAAAGTCACTTCTGCCTGCCATTCGTCATTGTGCGGTTTTGGTCCTCTGTGCCTCCCCTTCTGCAGAGCCGTAGGTCAGCCACATTTCCCCAGCATTCAATCTACCTTCTTTCTCCTGACAATGGTAGTGGCCCCAAGGAAAGCTCATGACCGAACTGGACCCAAAGTCAGGTAATCAAGGCATTTGTCCCAGACCCCAGGTTTTGGGGTCATCTTCTGTTGGACAGTAAGAGGGCTGTAAGATGGCTTGCTGAGAGATGGGGCAATTCTTCAGGCCAGGGCTACAAAAAGACTTGTGTCCTGTATGTAGGATTTCACCAGACTCTGCTCATAATCTGACCATCCATAGCCACATCCACACTCATCCTTGGTGCACAATGCCATCTGTGATCTTTCCCCTTCCAGAGCTGCCTGTGAAGTCCATCCCAACCCAATCCCAGGTGAATGAATGTGGGTGGGGGACTTCAGTGGCGTAGCTGTCTCTGTAAGAGAAGGCTCTGCTCTGGGCATATTTCTGGAGGAAAGGAGGTAGTGACAGTGGACTGTAGCTATTCTTGGCCGTCACATCTTTGGCCTGAATCTGGTGCAGCTCTTCAGTTTTGCTAAGGAAGAAACCAGAGCCCGGAAATGTGGAGAGACTCACCTGGGCTCTCCCAGCTGTATGCCATGGGCCTCCAGCTCCCAGGCCAACACCTTTTCTGCACCTGCACAACTTTTCAGCAGGGCATTTGGAGGTAACACCTCTCCAGGCTGCTCCCTCTGCCCAGTGGTTGCCTCAGGCCTCTAGAACAGACCTCAGAGGGAGTCTGTTTCTACTTTGTTCACTGCTGAGGATGCAAATTATTCAGCGTGAAATCTAAAAAGCAGCTAGTAAGATACGGAATGAATGCACAGGCCAAATACATCCACCCTTACCTGAAGCTGTTAGTGTGGATTCCAGAAAGGCATTCTTCTTCATACAGAGTGAACCACTGTACACTTACATGAGTGTACATAAATGTGTGTGTACATGCATATGGGGGGTGGGGAAAACAGATGGGAGTCACAATAATTCCATAATAAGCTGAGAAGCTGAAGCACCCCTATCCCCCCACCGCCCCCCTTTCTCTTCACAGCTTGTGCCAAGTGACTTTCCCTTGGAATGAAGAATTTAAAGTGTCATAAACAGGCCCAAAGGGAGAAGGCTTTCAGATTCAGCTGGATTAACTGAGGGCTCTTTAGTGAAGTTGAACTTGTGCATGTGCAAGAAACGTGTTTTATTGAAAAAACTCTTAAAAATGTTTGAGTTCATGAAATCTTTGTCCGATAACCAAATATCCAGTAGGATTTCAAGGCCATTCTCCGTATCAACTCTTGCTAGGTATTTCTGGAAAACTAAGGGTTTATAGGAACCCTGCAATCATAGCACTGGACTCTGGGGCTGCACTACCTGATACAGTAGCTGCTAGCCACGTGTGGCTGTTTAATAATTTAATTTAATTTAATTTAATTTAATTTAA